AGTTCTTTATATGTTCTAGATATAAATCTCTTGTCATTCTGTGGGTTGTTTCTTCAGTTCTTGATGTTATACATGAAAATCAAATCTTTCTTGATGCGTATCTTCAACCTTATTTCTTTTAGAAAGATGCTGTATTGACGAGTTTAATTGTGTTTACGCAAAACCCATATGTTGAAGTTGTAACCCCCAGCACCTCAGAATGGGAATTCACTTGCAAATAGGGTTGTTGCAGTGTAATTAGTTAAGATGAAATCACACTGGAGTAGGGTAATATGACTAGTGCTATTAAAAGGGAAATATGAACACAGACATACATGTGGGGAGAATGCCATGCAAAGACTGAAGTTACGCTGCCACAAGCCAAGGAACTGCTAGGAGAGAAGCCTGAACCTCTATGTTTCCCTGGTGCCTTCAGAGGGAAGGCCCTGCTGACACCTTGATCTTGAGTTCTAGCCTCCAGAACTATGACAGGAAAATTTCTTTTGTTTAAACCACTCAAATTGTGATTGTTTGTTTTTGTTTTTTTACGGCAGCCATAGCAAACTAATACAAATGCCTAAGATTTATTTTTCCATTTTAGTAGTTACTTTCAGGTCAGAGTTCAAGTCTTAATAATATATCTATTTTTGGCTTGTAATTCTAGTTATATTGATCGATTATATGAAAAATTGCATTGAATTTGGCTCTATTTTTACTTTTCTTGTACAGTGGCCTAGGGTTTAAAAATATTATTAAAATATTAGTGTTTATAACTTTTAGTGAACATTTAGATTGCGTACCAGATATTTTGGCTGCTTAACCTGTTTTTACCCCTCTGAATAAGAAAAATGATTTTGTCCAATTCCCTCTGCCCCGCCCCCTCCACCCCATATGAAATACAGGAACTGATAGTAAACTCAGCACTCCTAAACTGCTCAGTCTCAGTCATGGTAAACGTGATTTTGTTTCCAGTGATTTGCTTAGAAAGAAACAAAATTCAGTTTTGGCAAGTAAAAGCTAAAGAGCATTCTAATGGGGCATTTCTGAGAAAAGTTTCCTTGCTCTTAAGAAAGACAAACCAGAGAAAAGTTCCTCCTTCCTCCCTGGATGCAGCCTGTGGAGCTCGCGGCACTCAGTCTCAGAAAAGTGTTCACAAAGCGAACAGAGAGAAGGTGAGTTTTTATAAGTTTGAGAGCTGTGACTAAAGACTGCCTTATCTCTGGGCTTGTTATGTGAGATGATAAATTTCCTTCTCATTTAAAACAGTTTATTAGCATTTTGCTTCTGTGTTCCAAAGCATCTGAACTCATAGAACTGCTCTTTCTTGATACCCTTTTGCTTTATTTGGCTGAGTCTTTTTTGCTAATGTCTAAGCTATATAAGAACTCTGTTGGATAACTATTCTGTTGTGGGTTTTTTAGTGTTTTAAACATTGCCTAATTTGGTGTAACTTCAGACGTCACTAACTGATGCTGAGCATGTGTGCTGCAAGAGGGTTATCAGGGTAAGGAGATACTGACTCCTTTTGTCCTTGGGATGGCTGAGTCGAGTCTAGAGTAGCTGGAAACCTCACAGTGGTCATCTTGTCCCGACAGCAAACAGCATCCTCCATTTATGTAAGAGTCTCGAACAAGTATTTTCAAATGTATACACCAAATTAATGTATAGTTAAGTGCTTATTTCAAAATAATTAGAAAAAGCATTTAATACTGCTAAACCTAAAGTTGACATGGAATATCAATAAATTAATTTGGAATGTCAATTAAATAGTTAATGGAATAGCTGTCTAGCAGCCTGAAGTTAGCTATATTTCTCCTCATGCCATATCCCTTTCACAGATCATTTTTACTTCCCTGTGGGAACAGGGAAGCAACAGCAAATTTCAGGGCACTGGTTTAGAACAGAGGCCACCTGAGTCCCAGCCCCTGTCTGCTGCTGGACTGTGAATAAGTCTTCTAACTTTTCCAGATTTCAGTTCCCTCATCTGTTAAACTGAGTCTTGGATTAAAGATCCCAGCCATACCAAGTGCTTTACTTTAAAAAGGAAAAAAAGTTCTTATATTCACTGATTAGCAAGTTTGTTGATTCTTTGTAAATAGATACTGTTTATTAGTTAGGAAGCTTGTATTTTTCTTTTCATTATTTGTTACATTATACTTAGCCTTTCAGTTTCTTTATTTTCAAGTGTTAAATGGTAGAAAGCAAGGATTCTGAAATAGTAATGGGTATAGTAGATACTGTCACACTCCCTCCTCTGATAATGAGTAGCAACTTCATAGCAATTTAAAGTATTATGCCCTTTAAAGAGGAAGTTCTGTGTGGGACGCTAGAAAGAGGTTAAAGACTGAAACATTATGGGTTTCAGCAGTGAATGTGTGAAATTGTGTTCCCTCATTAAGGCTTTATGAAGTCAAATGTAAAACAGTATTCCCCCCCCCCACCAAAAAAAAAATCCAGAATAAAACAAAACACAATTCCTTATTATTTTTTTGAGGGCAGGTAGGATCCTGAAATACTTTGGGTTTTATCTCCAGTCCAAAACCAGAATTCTTTAAATCTTTAAATGGTTCTTAATGACTCTCTCTCTCCTTCTCCCCACCCCACCTGTGTAGGAATGGGTTGGGGGGGGGCAGGAAAGAGCTTGGTAAAGAGAGAATAAAGGAATTATTTGTCTCTTTGTCTAATAACTCTCGGGAAGACATGATAATCCATCTATTAGTGCCACGGTGAACCTTTTTTACCACAAGTCTCTGCAGAAATGAAATATTTAAGACAAAAACAAGATAATGTGTTTCACATTTAAGAGCATAATAGACTCTAACATACAGGTAAGGTGAGGGATTTAACAAGCTGTGGAGTTTTAAATAGCCCTGATCCTAAGTACTTTGGTTGCAAAAATAACACCAAAGGGACCTGGCATGTCCTAAAATATAGGGAAGAGCCTCTTATCTAAGCAATACAATGTGCAGGGCCCTTTTAACAAAATCCAGTCCTGCATAAAATATCTGAACACTGATGCACCAGCTGAGGTTCACTTCCTATTTTTGGTTAAGTTTCCTGGGGGGGTGGGGTGGTGAGGGGCAGTCTAAAGGCTCTGATTATTTTTATTTAACAGTGAGGGGAGAGCAGCTTTGAGGTATCATATGATACAGACACCTTTCTTTTACTGATCACATACACACCATTTAACATAGAATAAGGTAGATGATCTCTGGAAGGGTGTTCAACATTGCAAGTTAACTGGAACTCTAAATACCGTTGCATCCATTTCCATATTTATTCAAAAATTTATTGCAGTTATCTGGGGATTAGGAAGACAATCTGTGTCTTGCAGCTTGCATTCTTGAGAGGGAGTATGATAACAAAGCAACAAACGAAAACATTGTTTTAGAGAGTAATGACTGCTCTAAGAAAATTAAGCAGTAGTCCATGTTTGTTCTTATTTTCAATTGTGTGGTCAGGAAAGGGCTCTCTAGAGTTGACATTTGAGTTGATCTCCCAATGACAAGAAGGAACCAGCAGGCAAATTACCAGTCAGAAGGAACAGTGCTTGCACGAGGAATGTGCTTGGATGGAACTTGGCTACTTTCAGGAACTCCAAGAAGCCCTTTGTGGCTAAAGCCATGATCACATATAGGAAATGAGGCCCCCAGAATTAGGTAGAGTTTCTTCTTTATTTTAAGCACAATTGTTGTCTATTGAAGGTTTTAAAGTGGAACGGGAAGTGTGTAATTTAACACAATTGACATTTACTATATAACATTGCACTTCAGTTTTACTTCATTTAAATCTAATTGGTAGATTAGAGCCTTACGGGTCAAAACCCTGCCATCCCCTGTTCTGCTAGGCTGTTTTGCGCTCACCGGCTTGTTTGCAACCAACGCCCTGCGCCCTGCTGTTGACAGCCTCTGAGGAGCCTGTGACACTTGGCAAGCACCATGAGGCACAGACTAAGCCAAATTGCCGCAGCGGCCAGGGATGCGGAGAGGAGAGAGTAGGAGAGAGAGGCTGAGGCCATGGTTTGGAAGGGCTGCGGCCTTCGATGCGAGAGTAGCAGCAGCAGCAGCGGTGTGCACACTGAGCGGGGGATGAGGAAGCCAGCCCAGATGAGCCTCTCCCGGGGCCCCTAGTTGTTCCATCCCCAAGGTTTGCCAAGACTGCCCAGATTTGACATTGGAAACAATGGTGGTAAGGGCCTGGAGGCAAAGGCGCCAGGGCTGGGTAAGGGGTGGCAGGGATGGTTAAGGGAGCTTCCGCTTCTCCGGTCTAGCTCCCTCTGCCTAGGCCGAGGACTCGAGCGGGTGGCACTCCTCAGAGACGCAGGTGTTGATTTAGGGTTCGCTCCCGCTAGTGTTCTGATCACATTCTGTGCTGCCCAAGGTCTCCGGCTTATTCAGCGCCGGGTTTTGTGATTCGCCGGCCTGCCGAAGCCTTGCCAGAACTGCTAGCCTGACGATAGGTTCCCTGGGGCCTCCGCCTGCCTTCCGTCTCTTGGGGTACGCCCACTTGGGACCATTCGGTTGTGGGCCAGCAGCCCTGCCGAGACGGTCCACAGCGCCACCTCTTTCGAGCCTCGGTGAAGTGAGCGCCCGAAGCCGCTCTCCAGTTCGGGAGTGACCCTTCACCTGCAGGCGCCTGTTCTGCATTCAGATCTGTTACAGTGGCACCTCCCAGCCAGCCCTGTCTTCACCAAGCCAGCCGAATTAGCGCCCCACTCACTCTCCATCACATCACCCCGATTTGATGCTCAGAGGAGCAGTTATTTCAGCCTGGTGTATCCTCTGCGCTTGTTTATTGCCTGTTTCCGGAATGTCTGCTTCACGGGGCAACGACTGTGTTTTTCCACCAGGGTGCTGAGTTCTGGGCGCCTAGGATCGTGCTGGCCAGGACACAGTAGGCCCTCACCTTTGCTGAATGACTGAACCAGGGCTTGAAGAAACTGACAACCGGCTTCCCGGGGGCGTGGCTTGCTTACACCCCACCCTGGGGCCGGCCTCCACTCTAACCCGCTTCAACCCTTCCTCTCCCCCAGTTGGCTTGGGCCCTGAGAAGCATTTTCCTTTTTCTACCCTCACCTTTTCTGCAGCCGTTGCGAAAACCCGGAACGACGGAGCCGCAGAGCGGCGGAGCGGCGCCGCCGAGCTGCACCTCCCTGTCGGCTGCGCGCTGGGCATGCTCAGTCTGCAGGGCCGCTTCAGCCCTCCGCGGAGGAAGCTAGGGCGCTCCGGCTGTAAGGAGCGGTGGCGGGGGAAAAATGGAGCCCTTCACCAGTGGTGAGTGGGCAGCCAGAGGGCCCGGGACCCGAGCTCTCTGGAGCCCAAAGGACTGCGGGCAGTCGGAACCCGACGGGTCGGGATGCAGTTGTTCCCACCACGGGTTTTCTGCGAGGGCTTGGGGGCGGGGAGGTGGGACTGGGGGAGGCAGCTGGAGGCTCAGGGGCAGGGGTCCTGCGGAGCCCGCTGGGGGGCCAGGGGCTGGCGTGAAGGTCAACGGCGCCGCCTTCCAGGGTGGGGATGGGAGGCATCGGGTGCGGCTGGACCCGATTCTCCGCTCAGCGGCCAGGTGGGTGAACGGCAAAGTTTGGGCTGCTGTGCGCAGAGGAGGGGGAAGTGGGAAAGTTGGCAGCACCGTTTGCCCCGATAAGGTGGTGTGCGTCACGGCCTCTGCCCCGCTAACTTGGGTGCCGCGCTGGGAGCTGTCCCCCTGTCCTTCAGCGAGGTGCCGGCGTGACTTTTCCTAATGGGACGGGCTGGGCTAGGGAGCTTGCCGGTTAATTTAGGGAAAAGAAGGGAACCTTGGGGAAAGGCTTGCCTCCAGCACCGCAGCCCTCCCATCTGTGGCCCAGGCGCTGTGCTGGGCGGTCAAGCCTCCTTCCCCGGCTCCCGATAACACAGTTGTTCAGTGGGAGGCTCATTAGATATGGGGGGGGGGGGCCGTCATGGTGATATCACAATGCGACTCGAGGGGAGAGTCAGAGTTGGAGCTTGTGGGATATCCTACAAGAGTCAGAACTGTTTACTGAATGGAGAGAATAAATCCCGCCTTAGTTAAAACGAGGGCTTTTGTTTGGAACAGAAGCGCCAGAGTTACAATATAAGGGTGAGATGCCTAACCTTTAACCTTTATGCGGTTGGTTATATGAATTCTGTTTTTGGAGAGAAAGTAGGAAAACTGCCATCAAGGGATAATTCACACCTTAAATAGAGAATTCATTTTCTAGTTGACATGTTTTCCTGCTCGCGGTTGGTTACTTCAAGTAGTTTGACATGTCAATAGTTTGACCTACCGCTGTTCGGGTGGGTCACTGTCACCCAAGAGACAGAGACGTTGACCACTATACATCCCAAACACCATCCTGACTATGTTGTATGTTGTGCTTCATTCATGGGCTTGTGAACTGCTCATTATATCCTTCCTATTTCTACTTCAGAGTGCTTTATTCTACTGCCATCTTCCTGTTTGTACTGTTTAATCAGGCTTAATAATGGCAACTGTAATTCCGAATCTTCTCATTCAGGTTCTATTTGTAATCACAAAGGCTCTAAGAAGAGTCTGGTAAAGTTACTAAGACAGTTATGGAAGAGTGGGACAGAAAAGAACCTTGAAGACCATCTGGTACTTTAGTGTAATATATGTTTAATACAGATCATTAAATCCTTTCATATGACTCTTCCAAGGCTTTTTCTTTGTTCTAGGTAGAATACTTGGAGCGTCCATCTTTCTAGGATGTTAAATATGGAATTTCATTTAAATTTAAAAAAGTTTCCACAGCAAGGCCAAGTCATCCATTTGGTCAAGAGCATGGCTGGCTGATTTTTGTGAACCCGTGCCTACAGAATAAAAGTACATTCTCAAGTCTTCAAATTGGAACCTTTTCTTGTCTCTTAGAGCATGCTCCCCTAGATATGAACGTTTACAAATTGCTACACTTGGGAAAGCAGTACAAATGAGAAGTCCTACAAATGAGAACAAAAAAGAAGCAAACCTTCAACTTTCGTGTAGGATATTGGATTTCTAATCCTTTCCTGTCTTCCAGATTTTCAGTGTGTGCTGGAGATAGTTTGGCAATGCATCATTTTAGTTAATGTAAATCCTTTACTAAGGAGAATAGAAACTACATTTGAAATCACAAGAAATGAGCTTCTAGCAATTTGAGGTACTTTTCAGGTTTAAGGTGGACTGTTTTTTGTTTTTAAATTTCAGAAATTTTGAAGGATAACTAGAATTTTCTAGTGTTTTCACATAGGGCATCTTTGTACTTAATCCTTTTGAGTATAAAGGATATGTCCATTTAATTCTTCTCCTGTAGGTCTGGGTGTTCTGGTGCAGAGTATTTCATTATCCATAAAATTTATGATTGCAGGAATTGTCAAGCTTGGTATTAGCTTATGTTTGAAATTCATGCTTTTTTAGTGAAATCTTCACGGCTTATACTTTCTCATGTATCCTGTATATGGAAAGAGTTGTGAGAGCTTAACAAAGACAGTTTTAGTTTTAGGACCACATACCTTTAAGTTAAAATCTTGTCAGTGGTCTTACCCTGTGCCCTATAAATTTGTAGAGAAGGCAAATTTAGTTTCTGTTTTGTCATTTTGGCTTTTAATACTCATCTATTCCAGTAGGGCTTTTCTGTACTTTGTTAAAACTTGCTGCTCCCATGTTTCTTTTTTCTTGGGCCCTGCTTTTTGCCCGCTGATAATGTGAACATCCTATGTTAACCTGTCCAGATAACACTTCTATAACCCATTTAATATACACATCTTCAGAAAAGGCTTATAAAAAGGGACCTTAGTGCCAGGAATTCCCATTTGGCTCAGGAGATATTTTTGGTCTTGCCCTGGGGAAGGACTGCTATTATGCTGAAGATTGTGTATATCTATACTGGTTCTGGATCTTTGGTGAGTTTTTTTTTTTGGGGGGGGGGGTCGAGATGTACTATACCAGTACTCAAGAGTTTTAATAGTAACTTGTGTCCTGCTATGCAGGTAGAGAGAGGTGAAACTTAGAAAGGAGTGATTTATATATTATCAAAAAACAAACACAGAAAGTGGCGGCAACTCTCTAGATCTTTAAATAGATGTACTGTTGTAGATTAGAACAAGTTATTTGATGACTGTCAAGCTTTATTTGTCCTCCCTCGTGCAATTGGGGTTGGGATATTTCAGAGTAACTTAAATTTTTGTTAAGGAATATAAACGCCAGGGCTCACCCTCAGAATTTGATTGAGGAGATCTGAGATTGTTAGGCCTAGGAATATGTGACTTCATTTTGAGGATGTTAGAATTATTCACCAGAAGGTAGCAGATTCAGGATTTGGAGGCATATTGACAGAAAGGGACTTTTCATCCTTATGTGCTGTGTTGTGTGTGTGTGTGTGTGTGTGTGTGTGTGTGTGTGTGTATTTTCCCCCTGTGCTTTGTAGGCCTAAAGGCGATCGAGAGGGTAAAAAAGCATTGATATTTGAAGTCCCAAAACTGAAAACGTAATTTAAATGGTTAGTCATTTTTTTTCATATGAACAAAGCCCCCAGAAATTTCTTTAGCACTACAGCCTGGTGCACAATCTAACAGGGGGCTTTCCTGTCTTACAAAATTATTTTTGTTTTTGTTTTCAAATGCAATCCAATTGAAAGTATTTTCCAACTTCCCTAATAGACAACAAACTAGATATTCATGGGTTGTAAGGCAGTATGAAATTGTGATTGCATCTTTTTAGGTTATAAAATAATAATTGTCCTATAGCATACATTTTAAAAAATGGAGCATCATCTATCAAAAGTGTGAGCTTACCACACTTTGTTTATGTTTTACATCTTTTGTTCTATGCTAAATTACTACATTGAGAGAAGACCCTTAAGAAATGGAAGATAGGAGTTTTTCTCTCTGATAGAATGTAAGTGAAGTTCTGTTCTTAATCCATCTCTTTTGTTTTTATTTTAGTTAAGGGAAATGGGGATTATATAGTAATTGAGTGTTAACACTTAATAGTCTAAGGTCAAAGCATTAACTATAAACCAATTCAGTTTTTAACTGGGAAGCAGTGTTTGAAAATTTCTTTGCTTTACACAACCTCCAAAAAAAAAGCGTCTTGAAACAAGATAAACAACATGGTTTAGATGCAGTTGAAACCAGTGATTATCATTTATCTGTAGATGATCCCTGAGAACTCAGCCTGAAAGATATATAACCAGAAAGATTGGTTTTGAGGACATTATCATATAAAAATAAGCAAGAGGTGATTTCCTCCTCAGTAATTCAGTCAGATAGCATTTTTTGAATGCCCATTACAAAGTAGATTTTGTGCTAAGCACAGTTATAAAAATCCCACAGACCTGTCATCAGATAATGTTAATCTCAGCGAGAGAAATGAAATGCAAGAATCTAGCTCTGTTTTCATGCTGATATATAGAAATGAAAAAGCAGTAACAGTTTAAGACAGTTTTTTAATTATGAAATAATTGTACAGGGTTGTTTTTATAACACGTTCATATGACATCTGTCACCAATAAGTTCACATTTCTACTGTAAATATTCCTGTTAGGAAACAACAGCATGTTATCCTCTCTTTGAAAGTGCTAGGAAATCTTAGGAGTTGGGATGGAGCTAGATTAGACCCCTGCTTCCTGGCAGTTGAAGTGAGGAGGATAGTGCAGACAAGTTCTGTAAATTTGTTACCTAACCTCTTGAAAGCTGTATGTGGTTGGAGGTGGCGCAAATACTACTAAGCCTTTCCATAATACTAGCGAAGCAACCTGAGAAAGTTTTTTTTTCTTTTTTAAAAAAAACTGAATCCATACACATGCACCTTTTCTGAGAGTTCACAGGAAACAAGGATTGGAAATAGAGGGAAATTTTGAAGCCCTTGCAATGATAGTACAGTGCCTGCAGTTGTTTTGCAGTTGTTGTGACAGTGAGAATTCCTTTGTCATGCAAGAGGGGTCAGGATTCCTCTGTAACCTGATTCATTATTGTAATCCATCTGCTATGGTCCTGGGAGGTCCTGTAGGACTTGGACTCAAAAGATTTTTAGGGAAAATTGGGACTTAGTATAATTAATGATGAAGATGAAAGAAATGTAGAGATTTTAGGTAAAGGAGGAAGCTGATAGGCAGAGATTTTCAAAATGGTCATGCCTTGAGCCTTGCAAGTCTGGTTCAGAAAGGAACCTAGTTTGGAGAGTGAGATGCTGTTGTATAGGTTGCAAGACAGAATCAGAGTTGGAAGGGGCAGGTGGGTGGATCTGGTGGGACAAAATAAACTGTGGGGCAAGGGGA